ACATTGCAAAGTCGTTATAATTATTCTTTATTTAATCAAATTCGTTAATATGACAAGAAATAAACAATATTCGCCTTGGCTTAGGTGATCAACCAACAATTAATTATTCAATTCTAATCTTATTTAACGCAAGATACTATGTGGAATTGTTTAATTAAACCTTTTAAAGTGATCAATCAACACTAATTAATTAATTAAATTTCTTTTAAACAAGAAAATATGAGTGATTTATCTAAGTGCTCGGGAATTTACCACTTCTCTTTGCTAGACCTCCGTTTAAAATACTTATGGACTCCTTCTTGTTCGGGAACCTCCACCGTAGTAACAACATATCAAAGGGGTAAGTGTTTAGGACAAGAGGGTTAGGTAGCACAAGTTCACAAGTTTTTCGCCAGAGTTTAGGGTTAGTTTCTGTCTGTTTAAGCCTCGGATTAAGCCTCTATTTATAGGGAATGAGTAGGTTTAGGGTTTTGAACATTCTGCCGCATCAAGCGTCGCGCGCAACTAGATGAGTTGCGCACGGCAACCCAGCTCAAGTGATTGCGCCGCGCTGCTATAGGAAGTGCAACTAATTGTCTTGCGCGCGACTTTATGGTAAGATTCGATTTTCAAATTTTTGAAATTCTGAATCTTTCACAAGCGCAACTCTGGCAGTTGCGCTGAGTGTAACCCGTAACTGAATTAGTTGCGCGCGCCAGCCTAGCGCGACTCCTTGAGATGCGCGCGTTATTTTCTGGGGCAGCGCTTATTTTAACCTAGGCGCTCCTAAATCCGTCATTATTGGGTTTTAAGTATGGGCTTAAGCCTAATTATTATCGGATTTAGTTAATTGGACTTTGTTTGGCTTTGTTTCTTGGTTTGGGCTAGTCTTTTGTGCTTTGTGGTTTAACCAGTTATCCATAAGCATTCTTCACTTCGATCAAACACAAAGATGGTTTTATTTATCGTCATTGCACTTCCTGTCAGGACAGCAGGCCAAAAGTAGATGTCTGCAGTTAGCCCCCACTTTGATCGAGTCTAGAATAGACGAGGATCAGAGTAGTCAAGGAAATAGTTCCGAGACTCATTCTGCAAAGTTCTCAAAGAGTAAAGAATCTTTCAAAAATGTTATGGATGTAAAAAACGATCCTCGATTCGCTAAGTGTATGAAAAAGTAGCATTAAGGCCAAAAAAAGTTATTTCTAGTCTTAACTCGCTAACGAATCTAGATTGATTCTTTGCTTTTATAGAACGCTTTTACAAGTAAAGGTGTTCTGGGTGATGTCTAATCATGAGCAGAGATCGGTTTAAAAAAGGGAGTAAAGGGGGTGATTTCCTCTAAATGATGTCATCGTTGGTCTAAAGTCCCTCGATATGTCATTGAAACTTTAGCCTGACTTTAACAAAGTAAAAAGATGAAAATGGTGTTTTTGGCATTTGAGCCTAGACATTTCGGCATTTGAGCCTAAATGTTTCGGCATTTGAGCCTAAATGTTTCGGCATTCGAATCGGATGTCCACAAGATAGAAATACATGTCTCAAGACTAGAGGCACATATCCAAATCCAGTGAGAGAGAAGAAAGTCAACAATTCTCTCAGCAGTTTTGTCAACAAGATGAGTACACGTATCTCAAGACTGGGGGCACGTGACTACATATGTGCGACATCGTCTCGTCGCTCTTTATACAGGGGGTGGATGGACACCCTAACTGTCCGGTAAGCTAGTAGGCTCACTAACTACCGTATTTGCTTCCAATCAAGAAGTGTATGTTCCTGATGGTTCGGCTTGCCTGTCGACTTGTGAGCTAATGCCTAAAGTAATCCTCTACCTTTTAGTTTTGAGTAGATCTCGCAAAGCTTGGGCTGAAGTGAAATTTTACGCAACACCTACGCCATACAATTTTATGTTGTACGATACGTCTTGCATTTTTACGCTACATGTTGACGCCTTCTTTTTTGCTTTATACTTGAAAAAAAAAGCCGGACATTTATAATGTTAGTACAGTAAAATGACAAACCTGTCTATGGGAGCTTTTACGTAAAGCACCACTACGGAACGTCTTAAGATACTTTTACGAAAAACGTTCAAAACATATTCTTAGGAAGGCACAAAGCACGGTGCGCAAGCAAAATGATGCAAAAAACTAACAAAGAAGAAAATAAACTACACAATGCAAATCAATTAAAATATTTTGATAATTTGCGTGCCATTACGTCTAATAAGGAGCAAAAATTGTTGAAAAATGATCAAACGGATCAAAATCTAGATACCGGTCATTTTAGTGACCAGTATCCGTGCGCAACTCAATAGGTCACGCTGGCCAGGCGCGCGCATCATTCTGAGTTATTCTGGTTAATCGCGCACAAAAGATTCGGTTGCGCGCGACATTTAAATCAGCGAAAAGAAATCGCTAAGCGCGATTTTCAGTTCGCATCTTCTCTTTTCTTCCTTCACCATTTTGACCCTTTCTCTCTCTAGAAAGCTCAATTTTTGGCGAATTTTGAAGCCAAAGGAAGTGGATCTCGTCCCCTATTCATATTTTCCATAATCTAATGTAAATTGTTTACTAAATTTCGCTCGTTTTTGGCTGAATTTAGGCGATTTTCAAATCGTTAAACCCCAAAATTCGAATTTGGGGGTTTTTTATTTGGTCCATCATGCATCCTTGAAATTCTTTGTTCCATGTTGTTATGCTATGTTTAAGGAGTGTTTTGCAACAAATTTCATGGAAAATGGTTTAGTATTGAACCTTGTATGAGCATTTCTTTGTTTAAATTTGTTCTTACTTTTTTTCATCGAATTTTGCTTGAATCTGTTGCTTTTTCTTGCTCACTTTGGTTGCATTTTCTGATTATGAAGTAGATTACATTATTTCAACTAGTATTACTTTCATAATTCATAGTTTGCAAATTTTGAAATTGAAAAATGGCTCGAAGCATACTCTGAGCTTGTTTTTGCCATGTTTAAACCTCAAAATTGTTTGGTAGATGATAAATATGTTTTTATTACCATTATTTGTCTAGTAATAATTGATTCTTTGAGATTTTGAAATAAAATCCCTTGAATGCTTAGTTAAAACTGGCATAGGATGGCTTTTGTGGGTGTTAGAAGCCCCCATTTACTGATTTTAACTGCAGGTATTGTAGCCCCCAAGTATGGGTGGCATTTGATTTTTGTGTTTTTCCCTATCGGCAGCCGTTATGCGGCCGAAATGGGATTAAAACACGTATATAGCTTAGTTTTAGAAAGAAAATAAACTAATAAAGAAACCTTATCCAATCATAGCATGGACTCGCCTCCATTCGTCGATGCTGAGGAGATTCTAGAAAGGTCCTGACGAGGAGGTCCGCCCTCGAAAGAGGGTGACCTGTCCTCGTGAGGAGGTTCGAGAGCGACGCGCAGCCGATCAACTTCGCCAGGAGGATGTGGTTTGGGAGGTTCCTCCCAACTGGGACCCTAAGGTCCTTAAGTGGGACCTAGACCATCATGTCTCCATAAGAGGGTCACGCGACATTGTGAGTTCTTTGCACCTTCGCTTTAATTTTTGTTTTTTCTACTTTTCAAACCATAACTGTTTTTTTTATTCTTTTTACTTTTCCTTAGAGTAAGCCTAGCATGTGTCTATACGGCTCTGGTGACCTGCAAGCCCGTTTTGAGAGTTTACCCGAGGTGGCAAAGAGGTTGTGGAGCTTTCGGAGATCAGCCCCCAGCTGGCGGCTCTTCGGGATTTATCGAGTTAGCCTGCGTCGTCATCTTTCCTCCGTGGATTGTTGGAGTTTTGGTGGGATTCTACCAACACTTTTCACTTTCCATGGGAGAGATAACTGTTACCCATTTTGCTTTCTCTATGATTACAGGTTTTCCTTTTGGAGGCGAGCCGTAGCCATAGATATCGTTAAGGGGTCAGATGAGAGACTGCGTGACCTTGTAGAGGACCAACTCGCGGCGGCCCTTTATGTGTACGCGCAGTCTTGTCCGTACTCGGTTCTTACCAATGAGTTGTCGGCCGATGAGGTTAATCGGCAGTGTACACCTGAGCAGTTGGCTCGGATATACGTTGCTCAAGTTCTTTCCGTCACTATCTTGAGTGATCGGGGAGAACATTTCGCTATCAGGTTATTTATTGGCCTCAGTGATTTGGGGCAAGTAGGTAACCTGAGTAAGGTGGAGGTGTCGTATGCCCGTATGCTTAAAGCTATAGGCAAGGCAACCCAGGTGATGGATCCCGCGGCAGCTACTGAGATGCCTCGGATCTCACTTACGTGGCATGGTCGTATCCTTGAGGTACGTACTTTAAATTTCTTTCAATCATTATTTTTGCTTTTTTCCTTTAAGCTTATCATTTTTCGGTTTTCTTTAGGCTTGGGGATACTCGTACCTGCCTTTCTTAGCCCCCAGGATGCTTGGGGTTGCTCGTTTTCCTATCGGCCATCGACTGGTCACGATTAAGAAGAGACGAGCCACTTCAGCCGGAGACTTTCGCCAGAGGATCCTTTCGGCGACTCGTGCATCGGTGACTATTTCAACCACCTGTGCATCGTTTGATTTTTTGTTTATTTTCTTATGATTTTCATGTGGTTGTGTTTATAGATCGACCTCCGTCCTTGGAGTTTGATCGTCAGAGTACTTGAGGCTGTCCGGTCTGGCATGATTCGTTGCTGTTTCTAGGCCCTTTATCAGGGACTTCCAATCCTCTAGAGGACAAACGCTTGGTTTTTAGGCGAGCGTGTTCTCTGGTAGTCTGCATTCGAGGAGCCCAGGGTTCTTGCGGATCCTCCGATCCGGATGTTACGTCCGGATTTGTTGTCTACCGAGGATCGAGCTCATGCGATCCTTTATTATCTAGCGAAGCAGCTGGTGCTACCGGATGCATCTTATCCGACTTTCATTGCATCCAGGCTGACTCCTTTCCTAGCTTTTGTTCCGGTTAGTACTTTAACTCTCTCTTGTTATTTATATTAATTTTTTCAAAACCTTGACCCTTTTATTGTATTTTTAGCGGGTCGAGCTAGGTGGTAGGATGCCTCCTACGACGGAGATCACGTATACCGATGTTGTTGGGTCGGTAATTCATGAGATCCTTCCAGCATCAGAGGATGAGGAGGGGATACCGTTTGTTCCTAAGACGGTTGATTCGGTATGTTCCTTTTGTATATGTATTTATATGTTTTTTTTTATACATTTTGTTTGCTAAATGTCCTTGTACTTTGGAATAGGTTGCGCGAGAGACCGTGAACGGCATGGTGAGGACTTTGCGCACTTTCCGAGCTGCGTATCGGAGAGCCCTCATCACTTTGTCATGTTGTGATCATCGGATGGTCGCGGTAAGTTTTATTATATTTTTTTTCTTGTAACGAAGTTATCACATATTTTATGTATTAATCTTCGTTTGGATTTCGCAGGATGTGCAGCAGCCGTCTGGGAGTCGCCGAGCATCCTGACCTCCCTTGGACACATTTTTTATTTTTATTTATTTTTTAGGATACAATGTACATTTTATATTATTTTTATTATGTATTTTTTTTGTTGTACATATGACACATTTTTTGTATATATATGTCATTATTATTTTCTTTTGTTTCCATGCGTACATTTTTTTATATATATAAAAACAAAAAATAAAAAAAATTTCCGAGGGAGGGAAGGGTTCCCGACTTACCCCCCTCGAAAAAATAACAAAAAGAGACACAAAAAAAAGAAAAGAAAAAAAAAGGAAAGCATGGATATATTTCTTGAAAAATGTGATACAATTAAGCTAAATGGGGTAAGTGAAGATGCTATTGGACTTGGGTTGTTTTCATTTTCACTTAGAGATAAATCAAGAAAATGGTTGTCTTCTAAATCATCTGATCCTTTTACTACTTGGACTTCTTTATCTCAAGCTTTTCTGAATAATTTTTTCCCACCTACTAAAACGGTTAAATTGCGTAATGATATTACTAATTTCACTCAAAATGAATTAGAGCCATTATATGAGTCTTAGGAAAGGTTTAAAGATTTGCAACACCAATGTCCTCACCACGGTATCCCTGATTGGTTACTTGTGAAAACTTTTTATAATTGCTTAAATCACTCTATTAGAAGTACTATAGATGCTACAGCAGGTGGTGCTTTAATGAGTAAGACTACTGAAGAAGCGAATAGTTTATTAGAAGAACTTGCTTTTAATAATTATGGTTGTTCTAGTGAAAGAGCAGTCTCTAAAAAGAGTACAGGGATGTATGATATGGATGGTATTAACATGTTAAATGCTAAGGTTGATAATTTGACTAAAATTTTCAGTAAAATGAGTAATGTTAGTCTTATTTCTAGTTCTGATTTGTCTTGTGATAATTGTGGGGGTGCACATGCTAGTAATGATTGTCCTAATTTTGAACAAGATCAATTTGTTTCTAATTATAATCGATCACAAAATGACCCCTACTCTAATACTTATAATCCTGGTTGGAAGAACCATCCTAACTTTTCATGGAGAGACCAAGGAGACCAAGCTAATAATCATATTAGACCACAAAACCCACCTGGTTTCCCACAAAGACAACAACAATCACAACAAGAGAGATCTTCATGGGAATTGGCTATTGAAAAACTTGATAATGCTACTTCCGAGAGATTAATAAAATTGGAAAATAAGGTTGATCAATTAGCTAATTCAACTAAAAATATGGAAGTTAAAATTGGACAAATAGCTAATGCTATTATATCTAGAAACCAAGGAATTCTTCCTAGTCAAACTGAGGTTAACCCTAAAGAGCAATGCAAAGCTGTAACCTTAAGATCGAAGTGGTAAAACCCTGAATGAGTTAAATGTTCAATCTAAAACCAGTAAGCTCGTAAGTGAAAATGCCAAGAATGAAATTGAAAAGCAACTTGAAGATAATAATGATGATTATTATAAACCTGTTCCTATTAAGCCATATGTACCTCCAATTCCCTTTCCTCAAAGACTTATACAGAACAAAGTGGATAATCAATTCGAAAAGTTTCTTAGAATGTTTAAACAATTAAAAGTTAATGTTCCTTTTTTTGATGCTTTGATGCAAATGCCCTCTTATGCTAAGTTTCTTAAAGAAATTATGTCTAAAAAGAGAAAATTGGAGGATTATGAGACTATTGCCTTAAGTGAAGAATGTAGTGTTGTAATTCAACAAAAGCTTCCCCCTAAATTGAAAGACCCTGGCAGCTTTTCTATTCCTTGCAAAATTAGTGAGATTAATTTTTCCAGAGCTTTATGTGACTTAGGTGCAAGTGTCTCACTCATGCCATTGTCTATTTACTAGAAGATAGGCTTAAATGATTTAAAACACACTACCATGTCTTTACAACTTGCTGATAGATCCATTAAATATCCTCTAGGAGTAGTGGGAAATGTGCTAATGAAAGTTGATAAGTTTATCGTACCTGTTGATTTCATTATTCTTGATATGGATGAGGATGTTAATGTCCCTATTATTCTAGGAAGACCATTTTTAGCTACTGCTGGTAATGTAATTGATGTTAAAAATGGTAAGCTAACTTTTAAAATTGGTGAGGAAGAGGTGCATTTCGATTTGTTTCAAGCAACAAAAGACCCTCTTGCTGCAAATCATGTGTTTAAAGTTGATGAGATCACTGATTTAGATAGAAAATCAATAGATTTTGTTTCTAAGAATACCCTGGAAGTATGTCTAACAAGTGCAGGAACAACTCAAGACGAATATGCAGAATTAAAAGAGAATGCAAATGCTATTGAAGCATGCCCACCATGGAAGAAAAGAGGTAATTTTGAAGTTTTGGATATAATTGACCAGCGCTTCAAACCCTACTTAGGCTGTGAGATAGGGCGTGAGATGGTGACTAAAGAAGTGACTAAGTTCTTAAAAGACCCTGGTTAAGAACACTCATGAAAGTCAGGCTCGCGACTTAAAACACGCGCTACATGGGAGGTAACCCAAGCTCTTTTTCTTTTCCTTTATTGGTTTTTATTTGTTTTTCTCATTCCTATTTTATCTTTTCTGTCTTTTTGTTCTGTTTTCTTGCAGTTTAGAAAATAAGATGGTGATCTGTACACTTATAAATGAAGAAAAGGGAATTACTGCTCTACTAGCTCAGCACCTGGTAGAATCTGTTGTTTCAGGGATGTGGTTGTTATGTGGTGTAGCTGCTGTTGACTAGAGTAGTTTTAGCTGCTACAAACACCAAGCCTAAAATTCCATCAGGTTGTCTCTTTCCTTGTTTGCTTTCTAAGTGTTTTAACTTTCAGCATGCTTAAAAAAAAAAAAAAAAAGACTCCTACTTTCTGCTCTCCATTTTTGGTTATAACATTGAGGACAATGTTTGTCCTTAAGTGTGGGGGAGAGGTCAGAAATTTCTGTAAATGCCCTCTATGTTTTAAGTTATACTTAGTTTTGTTATGTGTTGCCATGTATGCAGCATGGTTGGGATTTTGTGCAGGTTTCCAATGAGTTTAAAATTTTGATTTTTGCCTGTTTCAAGGGAAGTGCTGTCAAATTTTCTGCAGAATTTCATGAAAAAAAATATATATTATCACTAATTGACTTGTTTTGGATCAATAAGAAAAGTTACATGGTATGTAAAGATAGCATAAGTCCTTCATTGACATTGGTTGTGATAATTTTTGTGACTTTGTGGTAAGATGGATTGTTTTTCCCTTATGCGATGAATCCCGAAAGAAGGGCCACGACCCTCGTAAGACTCAATTTTCTACATATATATCCTTCTTCTTGATTGCTCAAATTGGAACTTGCATTTTAGCTTCCTGAGATCAAAGACCAAGGTGTATAAGAAATGATAAGGCATTATTTTTCTTTCATGATTAGAACCTTCAAAATTTAAGCTCACTCATATTTTTTTTTCTTTTATATTTTCCTGTTGCTTAGCCCTGTTGTGCCGCTTTATCCATCTTTTGGCTAATCCTACATTACAAGCTTATGGCCTTTACCTATGCCTTGCTAAAAGGAATGATGTTATTATTGAGTTATGTCGTAAGTTTTGTAATAGAAGAGGGAAGAGAAAAAATTGAAAGTATGAAAACTAAAAAAATGAAAATGAGCCCTCAAAGAAAAATGAAAAGAAGGGTCGAAAAAAAAAGAAAAAAGAAAAAAAAAGTTGAAAAAAAAGCAAAATTATTATACAAGCGAAATAAGTTGAAAATGATGAATATATGATGAAAAAGGGGTTATAGTCTTCACAAATATTGGAGTATGGTGATGATATATAGGTAAGAGTTTAATATGATCTCTATTTTTAAAGGTTGTGTACTTGTAGGGAATAATTTCAAGCCTTTAAAATCCCACTAGCCTGAACCCCACTGTGATCATACACTAAAGTACGGTGGCATCCAAAAGGGAAGAAGATAGAGCAAAAGAGTCGCCAACAAGTTTTTAAGGAACTTGTAAACCGTTCATAGGATGAAGGTTACACCCCTTAACGATCCTAGAGATCGTCAACTCTATGAGGTCATGAACCAAATAAGGGTTCGGGGATGATGGTACAAATCCAACCTAAAAGAGATTGAACCTGCCCTAATAATAGGCCTCTACTTTATTATGATCGTATTCATGTGCGCTTTCTGACTAACATACAATCAATAGGATAACCCTAAACCTGTTTAATCTATGTTGGTTGAATTTAATGCACAAATAAACTATTATTGGCGATCACTTGAATTATAATCACATTAACCCTAACAAGATTATTAATTATCTTATTAAGCGTGATTGCAAGTACCAATTCCCTTTAAACATGCATCAAAGGTGATCAAGCAATAAATAATAAGCATCAAGCAACATAATAATAATCAACAATAATTATAATTAAAATAATCACGAATAGCAGTAATAATCATAATAATCATAATCATGTTCATGTTAATATTAAAGCATAATAAAAATAGCAAGATCCTAGGCATGATACTAACAAGATTAATAACAAACCCTAGCATGTCACTAAGCGATAAAAATCAAATCTTTAGCCCTAACATGATACTAACAATCATAAATATTAGGAAGAATAAAAGGCATTGTACTTTTAATCATACTTAATATTAAAGTTACCCTAGACATGATACTAGGAATCAAAATAACAATCTAAGCATGATATCTACATCATAAATCAATTAAAGCACTTACTTGGATGCCTCGTACCTCTTTCTAATAACAAAATACACACGTTAGTAACTTCAAGGAAAATAATCAAAACAATTAAATTAAATAATTGAAATAGAGATTTGGGACCAAACCCTCAGAAATTAAAACCTTTCACGTCTAGGGCGAAGGCAACTCCGAATATGGATAGGCGTTTCTAGATCTAATGAATGCGGAATTTTGTATGAAAAAGCAAGGCATAAAAAAGAATGCTAAAAGATTAATGTTATTGAAAATTGATGAATGAATGATGAAGATGAATGAAGAGAGTTGATGAATAAAAAGAGTTGATTATTGGTAATTCATAAAGTGATTGTTGATTGTAGATGATTGTAGATGATGAATGAAAACAGAGTTTTTGATACGATATTTATAGAGAAAATCATCCAAAAAAGATAATTTATCAAAACAGAGTCTGAAGATCGCAAAACCACCTTGGCGCCAGCCCTGGCTCATTGGCGTCAAGACCAGTGGCTAGCGCCAGGCGCCAATGGCTGGCGTCTAGCGCCAATCCTGATTCCAGGCGCCAAGGCCTGGGGTTGGACGCCAAGCCGACTTTTAACGCGTTTTCGAAAATCTGATAATTTTACTGTACTGGAAGATAAAATAATATAATTTCAGTCGAAAATGCTATTTGATCTTGATTAAAACTCTGAAGAGTCCTAATTGAATTAAGAATGATAAGACATTCTAGAATGTTCTAGAAGACCAAAACCATTCCTAATTACATTAGGAATGATAAATCATATTAGGCCCTCCCCTAGATCATTGGGCCGTACTTAAAACTCAAACCGGGCCCAGTTTAGTAAATTGGCCATAAATTCCTCAATATTCATCGGAATTGGGCTTATAATATATCGTTGGAAAGGTCTTTGCAAGACCCATCCAACTACACCACTATTGGACCCATATCATGGACCAAACAAACTAGATTGGCTGTTTTCTTAAAATAAAGTTTTCAAAAACAGAGAGAAGAGAAAAGAAAAGAAAAGAAATAAAACTTTCCGCAACACTAGACCTTTCCACACTTTCGTTTCATTCGATTATGATTCAACGTGAAAGGCACTCATCACTGGGTTTGGTTTTGGGAGACACAAATGGGTGTCTACAGTACTACTCTTTTAGCTTGGCATTTTTACCACCACATTCCTAAATATTTACACCCTTAACCCTAGCCTCGTTACAACCATATGAAAGTCCTTTTGATCTATATATACTATTGGTCTACAAATTGGTGGAGGGTTAGATTTTGTGCAAGTCCTGACGAGGGTCATCAAACCGAAGAGAGGCATGAGCTAAACGGTTGAGCATCCCTAGGGTTGATTCAAATTTGGGGAAAAGAAGCGGTAAGAATGATTGGTAAATGAGGGTGCTAATTCTTGTTTCATATCATATTTGATCTGTTCTTGTTGATTGTGACGATGACAATAAAGTAAAGTTGAAATGAAATTTGAAATTCCTGATATGATTTATTATTATTTGCTTGAGGACTAGCAAATCTCAAGTTTGGAGGAGTTGATAAGTTCTTATTTTATATACTTGTAAGTCCTTATAAGTCCTAAATTAATAACTTTTACTTAATAATGTTCATAATATGCAATTTTGACTAAGGAACTACTAAAATTCCATCTTTCTTATTGTTATAGGTTAATTGCATATGTGATGAAAATAACAAGGTCAACTTAAAGAAACAAAAAACCCACATTCTACTCTTTCACGTGAGGTGCATCAGTAAACAAGGATTAGTGGGTTTTCAACCCATTAACTTTTAATTGCAAGAGAGTAGCAGCGGCAGCAAGAGGCAAAACCCACGAAAAAACCCTGACAAAAACTCACTGATATAGAAGAGCAGCCACGCAGCAGAAGGGGGTATCACTCACACACGAAGAGACGAAGAGTAGCCCGAGATTAAGGACGGAGCAGCAGCACCTCGCGAGAGCCGTGACTGGACCGAGCTTGGAGCAGCGTTATTTCTTCCCTTAATTTTATGCAATTGACTGGTTTTTGCTTGATTTGATATGTTTGAAATTGACTCTTCGTTAATTAGTTTTGTTCTCTTGATTTCCATGTCTAGCTAATTTCGATTGTTCTAGGTTAAGGATGTAGTCCTTTATTTTCTATCAATGAATTGAATT